GCTCACTGCAACCTCTGCCTCCCAGGTTCAAGTGATTCTCGTGCCTCAGCCTCCTGAGTAGCTGGGATTACAGGCGCACACCACCATGCCTAGCTAATGTTTGCATTTTTAGTAGAGACGGGGTTTCACCATGCCGGCCAGGCTGATCTCGAACTCCTGACCTTGTGATCCACCCACCTCAGCCTCTCAAAGTGCTAGGATTACAGGCGTGAGCCACCGTGCCCGGCCTCCTGCCAGGCTTTACATGAATGAGGGAGATTTCATAGGGTGACAAATGGTGCCAGCTTGAGGCAGAGGAACCAGTGCTGCCTGAGTGCAAGGGGGAGCCCTTTGGGTGGTTTCTATGAACGTGCTTTGCCGGGAGGTGAACTGTGGGCTGGTGTCTGGCACTGAAGAGAATCAGAGGTGGGCCCAGTGCTTCACGAACCTTCCCTGATGCCCCCAACCAAAACTCTTGCATCAGACTCACCCATGGCTAGTCTGGATGACTGTTGGCAGTAGGGATTGTTTTGCCAGAAACTGGGTCAAAAATTTCAAATATATGCAAAATAGAGAATAGCATAATGGAACCTCAGAAGTTCGTCATCCAGCTTCTACAGTTACCAACCTGGCGGCAACCCTGTTTCATCTTTGCCCCCACCCCCAGCTCTCCCTTCTTACTCCTAGCTGTATTTTGAAGCAAGTAGTAGCTTTTACATTTTTATTTTTTAATAGTTCACCTTTAAGCTCAAGCTGGAACAAAACTGTTTGACCTCGGTGTTTGTAACCCTGCAAAGCTCTCTTGCTGCTCCGGCATGTGAAAAGGCTGTGTGGTCTGTCCACGGTACAACTGCAGGCGCCGTCTCTCTTAAGACTGCCCTTGGTTTTCTCATCTAAGAATAGATGCCTACCGTGGATCTCTTGTTTACTTTATAATGTGCATTGAATAACACTATTAAACTGATAATGGCTCACACTGTACATGGTAACCTTTGGAAGTAAGAAAAATGATGTCCCATATGTTTGACAGATTTTTAGATCTTTTTTTTTTTTTGAGGTGGAGTTTCGCCCTTGTCACCTAGATTGGAGTGCAGTGGTGCGATCTCAGCTCACTTCAATCTCCACCTCCCAGGTTCAAGCGGTTCTCTTGCCTCAGCCTCCTGAGTAGCTGGGATTACAGGTGCCTGCTACCACGTCCAGCTAATTTTTGTATTTTTAGTAGAGACAGGGTTTTGCCATGTTGGCCAAGATGGTCTTGAACTCCTGACCTCAGGTGATCCACCTGCCTCGGCCTCCCAAAGTGTTGGGATTACAGGCGTAAGCCACTGTGCCTGCCCAAATTTTTAGATCTTTAAGAAACCGATTCAGGAAAATGTTTATAGAAATAATGAAAAACTCCATGCCACAAGCTACATTTAGTAAAATTTGATATGGATGAAACTGTTCATTCAATCAAATCTGTTTATTTGAAATAGAAAGGAACCAATCCTCAGGAGAATAATGTTGACTACATAAAGATGAAAAATTAGAAGTACCTGGGTGTGAAAAATAATCAAGGCATTAAATGGGCTTAATGGGATTCTCTCCAGAAAATGATTTCAAATGAAACTTTGTTCTGGGATAATTTGGATTAAAATATATGCCAGATATCCCCAGGGGTAAAATGGTGCTGTCAGAATGGCCAGTTTCTGTCTATGGTCCTCTTCCACCAAGCATCATTCTAAAGCATCATTCAGGAGTTGAAGGGGGAGTGCAGGCTGGGCGGCTTGCTGGCTGGAAGGGCTCAGGCAGTCCATGAACTGCTGGTCCCTGAGATTCCTCAGAAGATAGGCAGAAAACCACGGTTTTAATAAAGCTGAGAACAGACACCCTTGTCTCTCATCCACTTTGATGTCTGTCCTGCCCATCCCTTCCTCACTGAGACCCCCCAGGGATTATTGACCATGTTTTCAAAGGGTTTTGATCTTCCTCTTTTGGGTTGGAAAGGCCTCTGATGCTTTTCTTCATGAGCTTCTAGCCAGGGGAGGGGTTCTTCCCAGCAGTGCCTGTGACATTCCCTGTAAAGAGGCAAGGACAGAACAGTATCAGGTTAGAAAGGACAGAGGCTTCCTGCCTAGCGGTTGCTGCTATCCAGAAGGGGCCTTGCCCCGGCCCCTGTTGGGGTGAGATTCCTCCAGCAAAGCACCAGGGGTAGAAGCTGGCCCACACGTCATTTGGCTGGGGCTTTGCTCACCTTCGGGTTCTCGCGCCTGCAGGGTCACTGCTCACTTCACACCCGAGCAGCCTCTGCTTTGCCCCGGGCTGGTATCTTTCCAACTCTCTCTAGAAGAAAGTGGGGCATGTCTTCCTCCAAATCCATGTCCAGGTGTCCAGGGGTCCGGAAGCCTCTTCTGGCTCCATCATTGTTTGGCAAGTGCTCGGGGGGGTGTATGCATACTGAACCCACGCATTCCCAAGTAAAGCAGAGTCCCTTTGGGTTTTAAGTACTAAAGGCATTTAGAAAGGGTGCGGGGAAGGCAGTCGGAGGCCTGGGCCTCTCGGTGGGGGAATTGTGCCTGCCCCGTGCCTCTCTGCATCTTATTTATCCTCCTGGCTCCCCTGTGGGTGGGGTCCAAGCTGCTCCTCAGAGCAGGTGAGAATGCATGGTGGGGGGTAGGAGGCTAAGCTCAGGGAGCCATGAGTGCTTTTAGGATCAGCCTGACTGCACCCCATTTTCCGGCCTCTTGCGGATGAGCTCAGTGCCTACAGCAGTGGGCCTTCTCGCTACGTCTCCTCTCCTCCTCCCTGGTGCTTTCTGCAAATCTTAAACCCTGCAAACTTCCCTGCTCATCCTGACCTGTGTGGCAGTGGCCAGCATGTCCTTGATTCGCGTGGGGAGCTAAGGCTGCACTTCCTTGACCAGTACTTCTCTGTCAGGAGTTTGCAGCACCAGCAAGTGCTATGTAATAGAAATTTAGAATGAGACTGGGTGCAGCGGCTCATGCCTGCAATCCCAGCCCTTTGGGAGGCTGAGGTGGGCAGATCACCTAAGGTCATTGAAGTTCGAGACCAGCCTGGCCAACATAGTGAAACCCCGTCTCTACTAAAAATACAAAAATTCGCCAGGTGTGATGGCAGGTGCCTATAATCCCAGTTACTTGGGAGGCTGAGGCAGGAGAATCACTTGAACCCGGGCGGTGGAGATTGCAGTGAGCTGAGATCATGCTTTTGCACTCTAGCCTGGGTAGCAATAGCAAAATTCCGACTAAAAAAAAAAAAAGTTAGAATGAAAGGTCTGGTTTAGGCTTTGAATCTTGACTTTGTCCTTGATAGCTATGTGATCTTGGGCAAGTTTTTTAACCTTTCTGAGCCTTGGTCTTCTTTATAAAGTAGGGCTAATTGGACTGACCTTGTAGGGTTATTTTGAGACTTAAATGATGTACTGTATTCAGCACACTTTATATAGATTATGTCATACAGAATAAATGCTTAAGCAATAACTGCTATGATTATTTTCTCCTTTGTAATCATCTGTATCCAGACTTACAGACGTGTTAGTGGTCAGGTACTAGATTGGTCTGGTCTTGAGGGCTTTCTTCCTGACTTGGAGCTACCACCTGCTAGAGAATGGCTTTGGACAGCCGCCTCCTTTGCAGCTGCTGGAGCCTGTCGGCCAGACCCGTGTGAGGCTTCGGGACGGGAGCTGCAGGCAGGAGGTAGCAATCCTGTGCATGGTGGTGTTTCCATCTTGTGTTTGGAGCCCTAGCAGCTGCTCTTGCCGTGTAATACTGGCAGGGTGACTGTCCAGTTGTCCAGTGACTATGTTAATGAGGTACTCCTGGGGGTAGACACTGCATGGTTGAGCAGAAATAGCTCCAGACTAAGGGCCAGGGCTCTGGCTTCCTGGCTCTGGGAGGCCACTAAATAGCTGTGTAACATCACCTATTCTGGACTCTCCTTTGAAAAATGAGGGGCCTGAACTGGGAGGTCTGTAAACTTCCTTCTGTCTTGGACCTTTGTTGTAGCCAGTGCAAATGTGCAAATGCTCTTGTTCCTTCCTGAGAGCCATTGTGGGCAATAGTTGAGTCACAGGGGCATGACTGTGGCCTCTCTCCCCTTCTGGCCACCTCAACCATGCCAGACTTCTCTACCCACCACTCCTTTTGCTGATGACCCTTTGTGGAATGCCCACACATTTCCACATTTCCAAGTGCTTCACAGTCACAGCTGGCCTGGACCAGTGTCTAATGAAGGTCACTTACCACATTCATTCATAAGCAACCTTTTTTTTTTTTTTTTTTT